CACAAAAAATTACAAGAAATAAGGAAGATGACCTTTTGAGAAATGTATGAAAGAACAATATTGAATTATATTGAGAAAAGTTTATCTGCCATGAAAGCAATGGCTAGAGAAACTTTACCTGGAACCCCTTTTTCGGCCTAGTCCCGAATCCATAAAGAGTTCAGATTAAACAGCACGTATTAATTTCAGCTTGTTTTATATAGAGAAGGAAAAAAAAAAAAAGTTACTACCACATTCTTCAGCCTAAGAACACAACTACCCCTAAATAAATAAATAATAAAGCAATATCTCGCATAAACAGAGCCTGCATTATCATCGGGGTTTCAGTTCGGAAATCTCAGCATCATTGACTGAACAGCTTCCTTTCTGTGATGTAGATACGCCTTCCATATGTCTATCACTTTTTCCGGAGAAAGCTGTCGTTGTAGGAATTGGAATGGCTTCTGTGTCAGTTTTGAGTAGGGAATAGACTTCCAAAATTGTAGGCCTATCGTCGGGATTTTCCTGCACACATAGTAGAGCTACTTGCAAGCATCTCAACAGTTTAAAAGAAGTAGAAGAATCGTCAAGTGATGGATCAATAAATTCTAGCCCTTTATCCTCTTTCCATGATATATATGCCTGAAATAATTTTAATGCTGAAGTTCAGATCAAAATTGTAGTTGTTACAGTAGTCAAAGAAAGCTATGGAACTTACATATTCCAAGAGGTGCAAACTTTCGTTCGGACCATAGTAACGTGTATTCTTCCTTCCGCTAATCAGTTGCAAAAGTAGAACGCCAAAGCTATAGACATCGTACTTCATAGAGTATATGCCCTTTTTTACATATTCAGGAGGAACATAGCCGCTGCATTGCATTCAGTAAGTACTAAAGGATATGATCATGTGTGAATAAGAATAACCGATGAGAGGCAGTTTACTTACTATGTTCCAACAATCCGGCTTGTGTTTCCTTCAAGTTCATCTTTTCCAAAAGTTTGGCCATTCCAAAATCTGAAATTTTAGCATTCATCTCATTGTCAAGCAAAATGTTGCTAGCTTTTAGATCTCGGTGAATGATAGTAACGTTCGAGTATTCTTGAAGATATAGGAGTCCCTGAGTAACCCCTTCAATGATGTGCACACGCTTTCTCCAGTCTAGGAGGTGCTTTCTGGTAGGATCTGCGAGATGACAAACTCAGTACCGATGATGTACGCAAAGGAGCAAGAGAAAAAAAACTACGAACACAGATTTCACAACTTTAAATTAGATTGCAAAGTTTGTGTTATTCTAGAATGCATTCTCAACTTTAGCAGAAAGCATGAAAAATTGCTGACCGAAAAGGTAGAAGTCCAAGCTTCTGTTTGGCATGTACTCGTAGATCAGCATTTTTTCTTCCTTCTCACTGCAGAATCCAAGAACCCGAACTAAATTTACGTGTTGTAGGTTCGCGGTAAGTGTAACCTCGTTTCCAAATTCCTCAAGTCCTTGAGTTGACGTTTTCGAAAGTCTTTTCACAGCTATTTCCTGTCCTGTCCGCAGTTTACCCTAGAAATTTTTAAGAAAATATAGCTGACATGGTTGATGAAAGAAATAGAGATCTATAACCGATCCAAAGATGAATTCAAAAGTTGCAACACTCACTGTTCACCAGAGTTTGTACAACATGTAGATAATATACGAAGTCTTACCTTGTATACGGGACCAAACCCGCCCTCTCCAAGCTTATTTTCGCTTGAAAACTTGTTTGTTGCTGCCTTGATCTCAGAAAAGCTGAACACTTGCAGATTTGAAGGATCTGATGCTCTTGAATTGCCTAGAATTATTCTCCCTGAAACCAGAAGGGAAAAGAAAAAGTGAAAACACAAATTCTGTTGACGTTATGGTACAAAAAGATAAATTATCCTCATCTAGTTGTTAAACAAACCCTCAATATTGAGAAAAACAACCTCTTGTCATCAAGAGTTTTCTCTGCAAGTAACACACCACAAAGGCTATAAGAATTACGATCAAAGTAACCGGAAGCAAAATTATAAGCAATAATCGCCGCTTGTTTTCATGACCATTTCCTTCCTCTTGAGCTGTGAATCATTAAAACAGTAGGATCTATATTAGTCATTGGATACCAATTTGATGTCTGAAAATAGCCTTATGTCAAAACATAGCATCGATAATTAACCTGTATCGTGGGATAAGTATTGCGTACCTGCCCGAGAAAGCGCCCAATTGTCATCGTCATTGGTGACTAGAAACACATTGGTACCGAGTAGTTTCTTCTCCTTGGCATATGCAATCTTAGCTCTGATAGCTTCCACATCATCGAAACCAATCCAACTCGATCCTATGATGCAGTAATTTACAACATAAGTAGCATTATACACTATGGGAGCTCGGTAGCTTCGTGTGTACCACTTGATGTACTTATAGCTCATGGATCCATCTTTTGTCACAGCAATGCCAGATGCTGGTGCCCCAATTCCATTATTTTCTTCGGGTTTCGCAAGTGTCCATGCATATCCGTGGTAAGGCAAACCCAAAACCAGTTTGCCAGCCGGAAATGAGTAGTTTAACCATTGCCTTATTCCATAGTCGGTGTTAACATGGCTCGAAGGATTGTATAAAGCTGCATGAGCACCGGTAACATTCTCCTTTGAAGGCAGATGATAGTCATACGCCACGACATGTGCCCAGTCCAAATTCCTCTTCATAGAATCAACAGGGTAACTCAATGATTCAAAAGCAGGCAAGTAACGAACGGCCATTGTCAGCATTAATCGTGACTGACTTGAGTTTCTCGACTCATAAGTCAGAGCGGCTCGCCACTCGTCCAACAGCTTACCCATGTTGATCATATCGGAGGCTTCGTTGGGCCACAGCCAGAATAAGTCTATACCCCGAAATCCATAACGCCTTGCCATTTGGATGGAGGACTCAATGAAAGACTTTCTATTAGAAGGGTTTTCGAGCATTGAGGACAAGACTGAAAAGTTAGCGTTCTCGCCCAAAATCGCTTGCCCTGTTTCAGCCTGTCCATTCCAGATGGATAGGAGTGTGATGGTGGACGGGTTCTTTCGCTTGACAATATCGGTGAAGCTCGAAAAGTATTGGACATGAGCAGAAGGGATGGAGAGCTGGTAGGTGGAGGAATTCACATCAGCAAAACCACAGATAAGATGAGTGAACAAGGCAGAATTTATCTCCGGTATAGGAGACTCGCTGCCGGCGTACCAGTAACCGGCTCTTATCCAAGTTTGTGCAGAGGAACAAGAAACAAGGAAGATGAAGGGGATGATCAGATAGGAGATATTTCTGAATTCCATGGAAATAGCTAGTTCGGTTCTCATACATAACCTCGTATCATATATTTCTGAAAGGGATCAGAAAGCAGATATTTCTGGATTCCATGGAAATGTCAAAACACCTCGAGTGACGTTAACGTTTCTAACTAATTCAATGCTTGCAACAATGCACGTACTATTGGCGATTTTTCTAGAGTACGTGGACACATACCGTTTAGGATTCAAGGACAGCTTCAATAAAACTCTTTTGCTGGTGGGACAGACGCTTAATTACCTGAGACATTCGTAAGGAGGAAATATTCAGTAGGGTACCTTTTTCAAAGGAGAGCAAACAAATTGTATGAACAAAAATTTGTATTATTGACATAAAACGTCATATTTGGAGATATAAGATCACCAAAATATACTGGATTGTGTTCTTATAAGAGCAGTCAAAAAGTATGCGTGGTTTAATTACCCTTACACAAGTTTTTCTTTTACATAATCTACGGAATGTCGTATACATAAAGTGGTTGAAAGCTTGTACCTTTGCCTTAAATTGAACAGCCCGTCCGCTGCATACGGTAAATATGAAGACCTTCGTATGCGTCAGCGACGTATATTTCTGAATTCCATGGAAATGGCTACTTCAGTTCTCATACATAACCTCGTATCATATACTTCTGAAAGGGATCAGAAAGCAGATATTTATGAATTCCTTGGAAATGTCAAAACACTTGAATTGACGTTAACGTTCCTAAGCAATTCAACGGTCACTGCAACAGTGCATTATTGGCGATTTCTGTAGAGAACGTGGACACATACTGCTTGGATTTGATCCAACTGCTTAAACCGAGTAAAAATGACCGTTAGATCAGCTTCGTCACCTGATGCATGCATAACGAGGAAATATTCAGTATAGAAAACCTGCTGTATCAATAAAATAACATTAAGGTCACTCTCTTTACCAAAAAGAAAACATTAATGTCAATCTCAATGGTGAAATTCGTCTCCATATAATAAAAATATTGAGTTCCCCAAATCCAACTTCCATACCATGTAATATGAAATATTACCACGTTGAAAAATCTTTGCATTTATTATAATGAAAATTAATGAGAATGGTTTGAAAACTTTAAGTTTTAACGATAAAGATAAAATAAAGGGTAAAATGAATAGTACCAAGATTGATTTTTTAGTGTAAAAATGTGGTTTTTCGTTAAAGTAAACAATAATAAGAGCTTTTCGTTAAAGTTCCCTTTATTATATTGGGTTAGGTGCCTTAGTTTTTGTTTGGACGTTACAGGTCGCATCGTGAAAAGGATAAAAGGGATACTGCTTGTGTCCTTCTATGGGGGATTAACGAATCTTTACTACCTGAATATTATAATTGAAACTGTTCATTCATTATCATCTTCTAAATATCATATCTGAAAAATTATTTAGTTTATAAATCTTTTAGTCATTCATCTGCATAAAACAAATGGACGGTTTATCATGATGATGCTACTTATAACCAAAACCATTGATTGGTTTAACACATATAAATGACCAAACGATCTCCGAACAGAATTTTTATTTTTATTTTTATTTTTACATATATATTCTTTAAATGATAAAGAGAATAAACAATTTTAATTATAATATTTAAACGGATCGTGTAAGCCACTTCAAGAAATGGGCCTACAAAATTCCCACGCTTTCTCAAATGCAGTCCAATAGTCCATAAACCCATAATATTAAACAGGCCCAAATGTCCAGTAAAACCCGTTGCTGTAAAACTATAAATTGCAAAACTCAGCAAATAGGGTTTCTTATTGCTAGGGTTTTGTCTGCAAGTCGCTCCTCCGTTCCCGAGCTGCAGCAGCGAAGATGGTAAGCTCTCTCTCTAACTGCATCTTCTACTCGTCGACTTCTTTCTTCTTGTTCTGATATTTGAGATCGGCCGTCGGATTTGCAGCCGTCACACAAGTCCTTCATGATCAAGAAGAAGCTGGCGAAGAAGATGAGGCAGAACCGACCCATTCCTCACTGGATCCGCATGAGGACCGACAACACCATCAGGTTCGGATCTAAGAGACACCATTTGATTTCTTTTTTTTATTTTTTACATTCGATTTATCTTTTTTGCTCTTGGAAATTTCTCCCGCCTGCTCTAATACGGCGTCGTGTTGCTTCAGGTACAACGCTAAGCGCAGGCACTGGCGCCGCACCAAGCTCGGGTTTTGAGGTGGATCACCTACTATGTGGTGGTCAAGATTTTAGTGGTCAAGATTTTAATTCTGAGAAACAGTTGGAAGCTTTTTATGTTTAATCAAAGTGGGAACTTCCATGGAGTCCCGAAGCGGAGATTGCCTTATGAAATTGGTATTTGGTTTGTAGTTTAAGTGTATTTCCAGTAATGTTGGACCAATTTTTGAATTTAGATGAGTTAATTTGAATCATGACTTCTCAATGCCTTGTTTATGCTGATATTTGTTGGTGATGGCATGCTGGTCTTTCTTAATTTAATTCGATTGCGGATTGCCTGTACCATAAGATTAGTGATATACTTGTTTGCATGACTGATTTGGCATGTTGTATTTGCCTCGTAAATCTTTATGAGGTGATGGGTAGTTCATCGTTCATATTGTACTTACTGTGATTGATATAGAATTTTGAACACAGTAGCAATGATTCTGTCCAGCCCTTGTAATCCATAAGGGTTTGGTTACGCTGATTAGTGCGTTGCTAAGATGTTCTGGTCAAAATATTTCAGTGTTTTGTTTGGATTTTGGATACATTGCATAGATAGGCATGTTGATGTTCAGCCATGGAATTGTAGGAAAATTATTTTCTTTCTTTTAGGTAGCTCGTTGTTCACTCTACGTAATGAAATTTGACATATAGTTAGCGGAAGTATCTTGTCGGTTTACTGAACAATTTGAGGTGAGAAAGGAATTGCCCTTTAGAGGGATTCAAATGGAGGTGTCTTTTACAGTAGATATATGTCTAATGATGTCCAGTTACTACTATGGAGGGATTTTCTAGTTTCTTGCGTGGATGTCAAATTGCTTTCCAAAGTGAAATTCGGCGTTATTTTCCCGGGCTGATTGAGCAGCTCCTGTTTTAGAGGAAAGTTGCACGAAGGATTACTTGGTTTTCATGCTAGGTTCTCAACTTCTCGTGTTTGCTACAGTTCATCTGATTTTCTAGGTTGGTTCATGTTACAACTCTTGCTTTAGAGGAAATTTATGTTTGCTCTGCTCATGCGTGTCGCGGATCCCAGCACAATCACTGTGATTCTAAAATTAATTACCGTACACCTATGCTTCAATGTGTACTATATGTGCACGACGAGAATAATTTATATGGAACAAGTTCACTACTACGTGTTGTCTCCTATACAATAATGCATTGTTATGTGCATGTTTTCCTCCACATGGCAATGTATATTATTGGATTGGGATGTCACGTGATGGTGGACTTGTTCTATGTAAGTTTTAGCTGTGTAAACAAAAAAAAAACCAAAAATCAAAAGTTAGCGTGCATTATGTAATTGGTTTAGCTAATTTCTTACAAATATGTTTGCATCGTTTTAAGTTAATCTAATTACGGTTTAGTGATATTCTTTTTCATTTGTAAATGAGAGATCTTACGTTTGATTTTTGTCAAGAATTTGAACCATATTATTGTGGTTGGCCTATTGCGAGGCTTAGTCCACTCCTGCACTTTTGTAGTGTAAATAATATCGTTTGTTCCAAGAAAGAAAAAAAACAATGAAGAGACTTACATTTTAGTCCTGATTGCAAAAGAAAATATTTTTTTTTTTAATTTAAACTCGGTAATTATCTTTACATGCTAAACTTTGAACTTTTGTGACACAGACTTTCTATTTTAATTACAATTAGGAAACTGAAACGAAATTCACATTAACAAATAAACCCACTGGTTCAACAAGTCACCCCACCGGCGAACTTCGTCCACCATGGCAGCAACTGGCTCCAGCCGTCATCCGTTGTCAGTCGCTGTATACACTCTCTCTCCCCTCAACCTTGAAGGACTTGTCAGCAAGACCAAGTCCATTTGGTCCCATTTTTTTTTGGGATCAAATCTTTGAAGGATTTTATTTCTACGAGTTTTTTCCCTTCTCCCTCCCATCTCCTCTCTCCTTCCCCCGGATTTGTTGTCTCTCCTGTTAGACAAATAAGGAATATGGTTGGAGTCCTTGTGTAATTGTATATAATATTATTATTGGAAGAATAAGCCGTACTACAGCCGTCAAGCCGTCCTACAGCCGTCCTACCTTGTCCTACCTACACACTAGGACGGCTACCTTGTCCTCTACAGCCGTCCTACCTTGTCCTACCTACACACTAGGACGGCTACCTTGTCCTCTACAGCCGTCCTACCTTGTCCTACCTACACACTAGGACGGCTACCTTGTCCTACCTACACATTTGTATCATGTATATATATCCTTGTAATCTTGTAGAGAAAGATAATGAAAAAATAAGCATTCTCTTCCATTTGCATTCTCTTCCATAAGCATTCTCTTCCATTTGCATTCTCTTCCATTTTTCCACATTCATGTATCAATAACAAATATAATTTTTAGCCTACATACCTTTTCCTACATGGTATACAGAGCAGGTTTATAACCCTAGCCCTAATTTTTTTTTCGGCAGCTTTCTCTGCCGTTCCCATGGCTGTTCGTGGCCCGTCCCGTCCCTCCTCTGCTCGTCCTCCCCTCCACTGCACCTACTGCAATTTTGATTATCATACCCGAGACACCTGCCATAAACTTCATGGCTATCCCGTTGGCCATCCCCTCCATGGCCAACCGTGGCGATCACCGCGCCATGTCACTGCTTCCAGTTCTTCCCGCAGCCATGCACCTTCCAGTCCTCCCCAGCAGCCACGGTTTTCTGCTTCCCGGCCCCATAATTTCACCCAGGCCCATCACGTGCAAGGCACCCAGGCCCCCGCCTCCTCTTCTACTCCAGCGACCCACCAAGTGCACGGGACCCAGCCCACTTTGCATGACTTGCAGCTTGCCATGCCTGACCTCTCTGCCGAGCAGCACTCCCGTGTTCTAGCTGCTCTACGTGACACCACCACCCCTCCTCAGGCCAATGCCGTGCTCACTACTGATTTTGCCCAAGGTTTGTTACCTGTCACCTCTCGTCATGGTCAATGGATTCTTGACAGTGGTGCTACGGATCATATTACTTCTTCCGCTTCATGTTTGGTTAATCGTTCTCCTTCACATTTGCCGCCTGTTTCTTTGCCTAGTGGTGCTTCCGCTCCCATTACTTTTACCGGCACTCTTCCTTTAAATTCCTCAATTACTTTGAAGGATGTTTTATGTGTCCCTAATTTCCGAGTAGACCTTTTATCGGTTGGTAAACTTACAGATGGATTATCGTGTTCCATAACCTTCTTTCCTTCTTGGTGTGTTTTGCAGGACTTGGTTTCGAAGGCGATGATTGGTGTGGGTAAGCGACGTGGCGATCTGTATTACCTTGTGGCCCTTACCTCTTCTCTCCCCACCCGTCAACCTCTCTGCAACATCATTACCATCCCCTCCTCCCTCTGGCATAGGCGTCTTGGTCACCCCTCATCCACTCGTTTGCAAGCTTTAGCATCTAGCTCTCTTAATTGCACTTTTGATTCTAGTCATATTTGTGATGTTTGTCCGTTGGCAAAACAAACTCGTCAACCTTTTCCTTTGAGTTCCATTTCATCAACTTTCCCTTTTGCTTTAATTCATTGTGATATTTGGGGCCCGAATCATCAATCTTCTCTTTCTGGTGCTAATTATTTCTTAACCATTGTGGATGATTTTTCTCGCTTTACGTGGGTCTTCCTCATGAAATATAAATCCGACACTCAACAATTAATTAAGGATTTTTTTGCTTATGTCACTACCCAATTCCGCACTACCATCCAATGCATTCGTACTGACAATGGTGGTGAATTTTTATCTCTTCGTAGTTTTTTCTCTGATCATGGGGTGCTTTTACAAACTTCTTGTGTTTATACCCCCCAACAAAATGGCGTTGTTGAAAGAAAACATCGTCATCTTCTTGAAACCGCTCGCGCCCTTCGTTTTCAATCCCATCTTCCTATCAAGTTTTGGGGGGAATGTGTTCTTACCGCTACTTATCTCATCAATCGTCTCCCTACCCGTCTTCTCCATCATAAATCCCCATTTGAGGTTCTCTTTTCGAAAACCCCATCTTATGACCACTTCCGCGTCTTTGGTTGTCTGGCATATGCCACCTCTGTCACTCCCACCACCAAATTTTCCCCTCGGGCTCATCGTTGCATTTTTCTCGGTTATCCTCATGGACAAAAGGCCTATACCCTTTACGATCTCGACAATCACTGCATTTTCACTAGTCGAGACGTCATCTTTCACGAAAGTACTTTCCCTTATGCCGTTTCTCACCCTCCTATCCCATCCTCTTCGCCTACCCTACCCATCCCACCCCCTCTGGACTTTACATATAACCCACCCCTTCCTGCCCCGACGCCTCACCCTCCTCCACCTTCCTCCCCTTCCACGCCTCCCACAGATTCCCTTGATGCCCCATTACCCGTTCCTCTCCATGCCCCTGCCCTCTCGGCATCCCCTCCTTCCCCTCCCCCCCTCGCTACTTCTTTACCTTTCACCCTTTTACCCACGGACATCCCTACCCCCCCACTACCTACCAATCCTCCCCTTCCCCGCACCTCTTCCCGTGCCCATAAACCTCCATCCTATTTAAAAGACTACGTTTGCTCGCAGGTGATTCTGCCATCCCACCCATCTTCGACTTCGCAACCCGGTTCTACACAAGGTACGCGATATCCACTTTGTAATTTTCTCTCTTATCACCGTTACTCTCCCAGACATTTTTCTTACATTAACTCTGTCAGTCGGACTGTGGAGCCTTCCTCCTTTGCCGAGGCTGCCACTGACCCCAATTGGCAACGTGCTATGACTGAGGAGCTTCAAGCTTTACATGCTAATGATACTTGGACTTTAACTTCCTTGCCCCCTGGCAAAATTCCCATTGGTTGTAAGTGGGTGTACAAACTCAAGCACAATTCCGACGGCTCTATTGACCGCTACAAAGCTCGTTTGGTTGCTAAAGGCTTCACTCAAGCTGAAGGTATTGATTATCATGACACTTTTTCTCCTACTGCTAAGATGATTACGGTGCGTTGTCTTCTTGCTCTTGCTGCTAGTCAGTCTTGGTCTCTTCATCAGCTTGATGTTAATAATGCTTTCTTACATGGTGACTTACATGAAGAAATCTATATGTCTCCTCCTCCTGGTTTCGGCGACAGGGGGAGAATCTTATGTGTCGCCTTCACAAGTCACTTTATGGTCTTAAGCAGGCTTCTCGCCAATGGTTTGCCAAATTCACTAGTGCCATCATTTCTGCCAGTTTTCAACAATCCAAAGCTGACTATTCATTGTTCACTAAAAAGTCTGGTATTTCTTTCACAGCTTTGCTCATTTATGTGGATGATATTGTGATTACAGGCAATGATGCTAGTGCCATTAATTCTCTGAAGTCTTTTCTCCGTGATCATTTTCGGATAAAAGACCTTGGTGATTTAAAATATTTTTTGGGTATTGAGGTTTCTCGTTCCAAACAAGGGATTTATATTTCTCAACGCAAGTATGCATTAGAGATTCTCAAGGACTATGGTTTTTTGGGAGCACGACCCATTGCTTTTCTTATGGATGACACAAAATTATCTGATAAATGAGAACTTCTCAAGGATCCTGAAAAGTATCGACGATTAGTAGGTCGGTTAATATATCTCACTATCACTCGGCCGGATATCACCTATTATGTGCATGTTCTAAGCCGTTTTATGCACGAGCCAAGGATATCTCATATGGATGCTGCGCTTCGTATTGTTCGTTATTTGAAGGCTACTCCAGGTTAAGGTTTATTATTTCGTTCTGACAACCAGACCAAGTTAACTGCGTTTTGTGATTCTGATTGGGCAGGTTGCCCTATCACTCGCCGTTCGACTACTGGGTATTGTGTATTCTTGGGCGGTTCTTTGATTTCTTGGCGGACGAAACGACAGAAAACCGTTTCGCTCTCTTCAGCAGAGGCGGAATATAGGGCCATGGCAGGTGCTTGTTGCGAGATAGTTTGGCTTCGTTTTTTGTTGAAGGATTTGAACATTCCTTTGGATGGTCCTTCCATTTTATTTTGTGATAATCAAGCAGCGTTACATATAGCTGACAATCCTGTTTTTCATGAACGAACTCGTCACATTGAGATGGATTGTCACTTTATACGAGATAAGATTGTAGATGGCACAATAGAGACCAAGCATGTGGGTACGGCACAACAGTTGGCAGACTTGTTTACCAAACCTCTTGGGAAAGAAAAGTTTTCGGGTATGCTACGCAAGTTGGGAGTTCTTGACATCCACTCTCCAACTTGAGGGGGAGTGTTAGACAAATAAGGAATATGGTTGGAGTCCTTGTGTAACTGTATATAATATTATTATTGGAAGAATAAGCCGTCCTACAGCCGTCCTACATTGTCCTACCTACACACTAAGACGGCTACCTTGTCCTCTACAGCCGTCCTACCTTGTCCTACCTACACACTAGGACGGCTACCTTGTCCTCTACAGCCATCCTACCTTGTCCTACCTACACACTAGGACGGCTACCTTGTCCTACCTACACATTTGTATCATGTATATATATCCTTGTAATCTTGTAGAGAAAGATAATGAAAAAATAAGCATTCTCTTCCATTTGCATTCTCTTCCATTTTTCCACATTCATGTATCAATAACAAATATAATTTTTAGCCTACATACCTTTTTCTACATCTCCCCTTATCTCTCAGTTTCTCTCTCTAGAAAGATCAGTTTTGCTATGTTGTTCCAAGTGGGAGTACCCCGTAACTTGCGATGAATGAGTTGTAAATATATCTAAAAGGAGCCAAATATGGCCGTGCAGTTTGGAAGGCCACAAAAATGTCTAACCAACTTATCCGTGGAAACCGAAACGGCGAAACGAAACTCCAAAACAAGAGCAGCAATCGACGGGCAGCCCTGCGTTGCCCCCCTCCCACATCTCCTATAAATTTCGAGGCGGCTGAGGGGCACAACTTAGGCCATCAGGGGAAAAAGGGACAGAGTTAGGCTGCCGACAAATCCTATTCGTACTTTCTTTTACTTTCCGTTTCTCTCTTCCTCGTGTCTCTTCCGACGAGGAGGCCCAGAGGTTGAGAGCACTCCTTGTGGCGCATTTCGTGGTGGGGAAGCAGTGAAACAGCGGAGCTCTTTCGGGCCTGAGAGCCTAAGAAGGCGGTGTTGTGCCGTCGGTCAATCATGGCCAACATCTCCTTAGAAGACGTCAAGAACGAGAACGTCGACCTCGTACGTATTTGAGTTTGCATGATTTTACGTTGTTTTTTTTTTTTTGAAGTTTCATGCAATGGTATGCCAGTGGCAATGTGTTTGAATTGTTTGTGTGTCTTTCGTAGGAGCGAATCCCCGTTGAGGAAGTTTTCGAGCAGCTGAAATGCACGAAAGGTGGATTGACGGCCGAGGAAGGCCAGAAGCGGCTGCAGATCTTCGGCCCGAACAAGCTTGAGGAGAAGAAGGAGTGCAAGGTCCTCAAGTTCCTGGGATTTATGTGGAATCCTCTATCATGGGTCATGGAGTGCGCTGCTATCATGGCCCTGGTTTTGGCCAATGGAGGGGTAATATTAATGTTAATCAATTTAATCAAACGAAAGAAAAATGATTTCGGCACTTCCTTTTTCTTCCCATGCACAACTTTTTTCTGGTCGTTCGATTAAATAAGGAAGAATGTCATGAACAATGCAGGGCAAGCCAACTGACTGGCCAGACTTCGTCGGTATTATGGTGTTGTTGCTCATCAACTCAACCATCAGTTTCATCGAGGAAAACAATGCCGGAAATGCTGCGGCAGCTCTGATGGCTAGTCTTGCCCCTAAGACTAAGGTCTTGAGGGATGGAAAATGGGGGGAGCAAGAGGCAGAAATCCTGGTGCCAGGAGATGTGATCAGCATCAAGTTGGGAGATATCGTCCCAGCTGATGCGCGTCTCTTGGAAGGTGATCCTCTCAAGATTGACCAGGCTGCTCTCACCGGTGAGTCCCTTCCTGTTACCAGGAACCCAGGAGATGAGGTATTCTCTGGCTCTACCTGCAAGCAGGGTGAGATCGAAGCTGTTGTCATTGCCACCGGTGTCCATACCTTCTTCGGAAAGGCTGCTCACCTTGTGGATAGCACCAACCAAGTGGGTCACTTCCAAAAGGTAAGCGCATTGACGCGTTTCTTTTCGTTGTCAGTCATCGAATTTTATGTAAACTATTGTGTGGTATCTCAATCCAATTATATAACAGTGACAATGACATCTCGGTTCCATGGAAGTTTTCCTCTTTCAGTTCAGGGCGTTTTACTAATTTTGTATTATCTTGGAAGGTGTTGACATCCATCGGAAACTTCTGCATATGCTCCATTGCTGTGGGAATGGTAATTGAGATCCTGGTGATGTATCCAATTCAGCACAGGGCATACAGAGATGGTATTGACAACCTGCTGGTGCTTCTGATCGGAGGTATCCCGATTGCCATGCCCACGGTCTTGTCCGTGACCATGGCTATTGGGTCTCACCGCCTTTCACAGCAAGGCGCCATCACCAAGAGGATGACAGCCATTGAAGAGATGGCTGGGATGGACGTCCTTTGCAGTGATAAGACCGGTACCCTCACCCTCAACAAGCTTACCGTCGATAAGAGTCTAATTGAGGTTAGTGTAATAACCCGAATACGTGCCATATTTCAGTATAATATTGACCTTAAATTCGGAGGCGTGGCAGTCAGTAACCAAGATAGTAGATATGATTATTTGCCTATGATTCTCGTTATGTGATCAGTACTTATTTTGGGTGTGATTATAATTCAGGTGTTCCCGAAGAACGTGGATAAGGATGGCGTGGTGTTGCTCTCTGCTAGGGCCTCCAGGGTTGAAAACCAGGACGCCATTGATGCCTCGATTGTTAATATGTTGGCCGACCCTAAGGAGGTACACAATTCAATCCATTTTTACTTCTCCTGCAGCAGCATGCCTGATTGAAGAAGCTCATCCTTATTCTGATTTGTTGATGTTTTTGTAGGCAAGAGCAGGAATCACTGAGGTGCATTTCCTGCCCTTCAATCCCGTCGACAAGCGCACAGCAATCACCTACATCGATGCCAATGGCGACTGGCACAGATGCAGCAAGGGTGCACCTGAGCAAGTAAGCCCTTGTACCAATACTACCAAGCACATTTTACGCACCGGATCCCATGAGAACTCCAAACGTAAATATTTTGAGGAAAGAAAAAAATATTGATAACCAACTATTTTACTTGTCTACCAGATCATTGACCTTTGCGATCTCAAGGGAGAAGCAAGGAAGAAGGCCCATGCTGTCATTGACAACTATGCAGAACGTGGTCTCCGCTCATTGGGAGTTGCTCGACAGGTGAATAACCACGACGAAATGCCTCAATGGTGTTTGTTCTGTTTCTAACCCCAGAAAGATGAATTTCCTGACATAAATTTGATTCCATTCTCTATGATTTTACAGACAGTTCCTGAGAAGACAAAGGAGAGCGCTGGCAATCCATGGGAGTTTGTCGGTTTACTGCCTCTCTTTGATCCTCCCAGGCACGACAGTGCTGAGACTATCCGTCGTGCTCTTGAGCTCGGTGTAAATGTTAAGATGATCACTGGTGACCAACTTGCCATTGGGAAAGAGACTGGTCGCAGGCTTGGCATGGGAACTAACATGTATCCGTCATCCACCCTTCTAGGACAGAGCAAGGACGAGTCCATTGCCTCCATGCCTGTTGATGAGCTCATCGAAAAGGCTGATGGATTCGCCGGAGTCTTTCCTGGTAACTAAAACACTATTTTTTCGAGTGCCAATAGCAACTCCCGTTAGTGGTTTTAAACCTAAAACTAATGCACATATATTTGTGGCATACAGAGCACAAGTACGAGATTGTAAAGAAGCTACAGGAGAGGAAGCATATCTGCGGGATGACTGGAGATGGTGTGAATGATGCCCCGGCGCTCAAGAGGGCGGACATTGGTATTGCCGTGGCAGATGCAACTGACGCAGCCAGGAGCGCGTCGGACATTGTCCTGACAGAGCCAGGGCTGAGTGTGATTGTGAGTGCCGTCTTGACAAGCAGAGCCATCTTCCAGAGGATGAAGAACTATACAATCTACGCTGTTTCCATCACAATCCGTATTGTGGTGGGATTCATGCTCGTTGCTCTCATCTGGAAGTTCGACTTCTCGCCTTTCATGGTCTTGGTTATCGCTGTCCTGAACGATGGGACTATCATGACCATCTCCAAGGACAGAGTGAAGCCGTCTCCTCTCCCTGACTCATGGAAGCTCAAGGAAATCTTCGCCACTGGCGTTGTCCTTGGAACCTACATGGCTGTCATGACCGTGGTCTTCTTTTGGCTTGCAAATAGCACCAACTTCTTCGGAGTATGTAAACAAACTCTTAGAGATCAAAAATCAAATGCCAACACTCAATTGATGATTTAAGTCTAATACAAATGCTAAAAAGATCTCTACTTTTTACAGAAACATTTTGGAGTGCACAATATCTCAGACAACCCGAAACAGCTTAACTCGGCTATCTACCTACAAGTGAGCATCATCAGCCAAGCGCTCATCTTCGTGACTCGATCAAGGAGCTGGTCCTTCGTCGAACGCCCTGGTCTCATGCTTATGGTCGCCTTTCTTGCAGCTCAGTTGGTTAGTATATCATTTTACCCTTTGAAACTCAATTTCCGTCTCACTTTATGTGCCACTTAGATTCTAAAAAATAAGTACGTCCGATACAGTTGGTAGTATTTTTCGCTTTTCACCATAACTTACCTTGCTAATTTGGGGTACCTTTTTCTTCAGGTGGCCACGCTCATCGCTGTGTACTGCAGCTGGGGCTTTGCCAGAATCGAAGGCGTTGGATGGGGATGGGCCGGTGTCATCTGGATCTACAGCATCGTCACCTACTTCCCCCTCGATATCTTCAAGTTCATTATCCGCTACGCATTGACCGGGAAGGCCTGGGATAACATTGTCCAGAACAAGGTTTGTTTTTCACGCTCTACCAAAAAAACGTTACTCCTTTTACTCTTTTCACTCGTTTCCCGACCTAATCTTGCTTGCTAATGTTTTGTTTACGCACAAAGACCGCCTTCACATCGAACAATGACTACGGAAAGGGGGCAAGAGAAGCGCAATGGGCGTCAGCTCAGCGTTCGCTCAGCGGTCTCCAGCCTCCGGAAGCATTGTTCCACGGCAACCACGGGGAGCAGGCGGAGCTAGCTGAGCAGGCCAAGAGGCGCGCGGAAGTCGCTAGGTAAAATGATGCTTCCTTGTACAAAAACAAAAAAAGGGCACTCAAAAAACAGCAGCATGCTTCCTACGTTGGAGAAATTTTTAGTTGTGACTGGAATACAGATGGTACACCATGTGTTTTTATGTAAGTGGTGGAAAATTTTAATTTTTAAGTTATTAACCTTTTAACACACATATTCCACCATTTATATAAAGACACGTGGTATACCGTCTCATGTGACGATCACACTGAAAAATCTTCCCTTTGTTGGTTCGTTCGAGGCCTATTCTTGGTTCATATGTTTTGAACAAATCGATACACGTATATGCGCGAATAAAATAATAAAAATTATTTGAATTTTTGCATCTGATGTTCTATGTTATGCATGCAGGCTGAGGGAACTGCACACGTTAAAGGGACACGTCGAATCAGTGGTTAAGCTGAAGGGGCTAGACATTGACACCATCCAACAACACTACACTGTTTAGAACACTTGCTGAAAAGGCAAAGGTGGACGCAAGGAGTGCTCAGAGAGAAGCTGCAACGATATATATATATATATATTTACAAATATATAGTATTTATATATATTTTATGTTATGAAAGTAGAGATGGTAAATGCTGGGAAAGCCAGCTGAATGGATTTGTCTTTATATTAGATATTGGAAAAAACTAAAACTCTTTGGGATGGAATGAAGATGAATTATTGGGGTTATTTTCTACTTTTTTTTTAAGATAGGCTAAAAAATTCATGTGTTTAAGGTACACTATCCTCTCACCTTTTTATTTTATTTTTTGTTTTTTTATTTTTATAAGAATGAGGGATTGTATTGCCTAGGAATCAATAGTGCAAGAAGAATTTAGTGGTTCACAGTGAAATTATTCCAAGATTAATTATCATGCATGATTAACGAAATCTCAACCGAGTTCAAATTTTCTGTATTTATTTTGTATGTGGCTTCTATCATTAATTGACACGTCCTTAACTTTACGATCACAAATTTAGCGCGTGTCAATCGCTGGTAGAGGTCACACACAAAAATAAGTACAAAATATTTGATTTCATCTCAACATGGGTTTGTTACAAGTGTATTATAAATCTTGTTACTATAAATCCGTACTTAGATGCTCGAGGACAGACACAATATTCTAATTGACTAACCTAACAAGTTAACGTATGAAATTTTTCATGTTTTATTGAATATGAAAGGAAATGAGAAGCAAGCGTTAAGCTTGTTATAAAATGACACGAGATTATGCCCAACAATGATAAAATCAAAATAGCCTTCGTGTGCATATATGATATATATTATACCAACTTTGGATTTGTTTACTAACTAGTTATTTGTTTAGTTCAAATCCTTTCCCATTGATTTAAGAAAGAAAATAGCCTTCATCTTGGAAAAACAAAAACTTGTGAACTGTGTTTTGACCACTTTATTTATATGATAACTCTCACAAAAACCTAAAAACATTTTTATTTTGACTCTACACCATGTTACTTGTTGTAAGAACTGTCCTCATCATGCTATTCTTATTATATTTGTACTACATTTTTAATAGAGACAGAACTCTCATGTGTTAGCAAGCCTAAGCCAATATATATATATATGGGTGGAAGGGAAATTGGTCATATTAACATGTTGTTGCTGCAATCTAATTTCTGACAAAACAAAATTCTTCATAAAAACACATTTCTTCACCATTTTATCAATCGATTTGTTTCCCTTTCACTTTCCAAGACACTATTTATTATTATTTTTTAGGTTACAAGCAATAATGGGCAGAGTCGTTAGAGCCAAGTAAAACTAAAATAGGGAGATTTTATTGATCTTGTGAAGTCGGTGCTACTAGAAAAACAAAATAACAAAAACAAACATTTAATATTTATAGATATTAGGGTGAAAATCTTTTCTAAAAAGTAAAATACCGGCCAAAACGAAAAGCAAGACAATAATGTTATTTGTATAAAATTGATACACTTGCTAAGACATTATCTAATACAGTTTAACTCGATCATTGCATGTGCATGTAGTCTTATGCAGATATGTAGCTAGTAGATTACAACTGTGTTTCCCCAATCGAACGTTTTGTTTATGAGGTTTTCTCTTTGCTTGCTATAGCCTTATGGATAGTAGTGGTGACAAAGTAGTACTACAATGCCTGAGGCCACATAGATGAGAGAGGCCGTACATTTGAACCAGACAGGAAATGGGATTGTGACGGAAATGAAGAAGGCGGTGATTCCGAAGAAGACCCCGAAATAATGGAAGAGATGAACTATTATCCGTGGAGAGTTGGAGTGTTGGATAAATTTGCTAACCATGATACAAGTAAAGGCAAGTAGGATTGCGAGACCGAGAAAGCAAAAGGTTAGAGGGAGCTGGTTGGAGTGAAGTTGGATGGGAATGAGAGCCATTCCAATGGCTGTCGACAAGCAATATGCCACGATAATCTTCGCCCAGTCAAAGTTGTGCTTTCTAGTCCTAGAGCTGGCAGCGGAGGCTGGCAGCAGCGGTGGTGGTGGTAGTGGTGATGGTGGTTGATCAGTCGCCGGTACTATTGCTTCTGGGTCAAGATCATTGTCCAATGTGCTGATGAAGATCTTGTTGAGTAGTTGCTGCAAAAATGCCTGAAGGCACTGATAAGCACTAGCAATACAGTAGTTCATACTTGTACCTGATAAGTATAACCCTACACAGCTGTGGATCGAGGGAAACTGATGGTTAAATTCTTAGTTCCATGAGAGAATTCATGGTGGATTTTATACACCTCGGGCAGAGCTTTACGCGTACAAGTAGAAAAAGGTCGTGAGAGAGTGAGAATAGAAAAGGATCGTTACAGAGAGAGAGAGATGGACTGGCGAAGTAGGAGAGAGAGAGAGAGAGATGGATTGGCGAAGTAGAAGAGAGAGAGAGAGAGAGAGAGAGAGATGGATTGGCGAAGTAGAATAAGGCCGTGAGAGAGAGTGAATAGAAAAAAGGTACAGAGAGAGAGAAGAGAGTGAATAGAAAAAAGGTACTGAGACAGAGAGACAGAGGTACTCAGAGAGGGAGAGAGAGAATGACAGAATAACGGGAGAATAAGAAAGAAAAATAAAGGTTCTTAGAAGAAAGGAAATAAAAGGTTCTTAGAGCGAGAGTAGAGAGAGAATGAGGTCGTAAGAGAGTGAGAATAGAAAAAAGAGGTTTTTTGAAATGGTTGAAATAACTAAAAATTGGATATATTTCAAAAGTTAAAAATCATTAAAAATTGGATCTATTTTAAAAGGTAGTCTATAAAATCGGACCTATTTCAAATTTTTCTTAGAAAAAAAAGGTCGTTAGAGAGAGAGAGATGGATTGGCGAAGTAGCCTCAAGAGGTGTACAAATGGAATACAGTCAAGAGCCTACAAATAAAATTCATTCGCATTTTCAAAAAAAAATAAAATAAAATTCATTCGCTTCAGACAGTCAAGAGCCTCCTAAACAAAGTCATTTGCTTTGACGGTGAGAAGTAGGGATGGGCAACGGTTATAACAGGCGGATAACAATGATTATTTACCCATAACTATTTATGTTCATTCCCGCATAACAGTTTATCCCTTGGATAATTGCATAAACGGTTATATTCATACACATAACCGTTTATAAACGGTTAGCCATACCCATAACCGTGTACCCATTTAATCATAACTGTTTACCCATTTACCTGTTTTTGAACCAATTTATCATTTTTTTACCCATTTACTCATTCTTTCACCCGTCTAAATGTTTTTTTTAACAACTTGAAATTTACAAAAAAAAAAATTGTCATAATTTTTATTTTTTAACAATTAAACACCATTGTATGTATATTTTAGTATGCATTTCCCTATTTTAATCATTTAAGTCCTCGTACAATTCTAATAATTGAAATAATAGTTTACGAACGATATTTTTCTGCTACACCCAAGCAAGTCTTTAATTATAATCCATATGATTACAAAGTAAAGTTTCTAAAAACAAAAAGTAATCATTATCTTGAATACTAGATGATTCAAAGCTCCAAAATATTTCAAAACTAGACACTTTTGAACACTAATGCTTTAGCACGTTCAATCACAAAGTCTCATCGACTCATTGTCACCAAAAGAGGCTTACAAAAGAAATGTATAAATTGAATTAGTATCTCATTTAGGAACACCGACACCAATTAGCATGAATCCAATAGGGGTAAGTAATCACATAAGATTTACATTGTACATTCAGTTATCATAAAAAAAATAAAAAAAGCAAATAAAAGCGATCCTTAGTCCTCCTCCTCTCTAATATACATACATACATACATACATACATATATATATAGCACCTACAAATGAAGGGTCCTGATAATCGTTCAAGTCGCATCGCTGTGGTACACAATATCATCTATTTTCTTTATGAGTGTACAATACATATATATATATAAATTAAATGGATAAATGGTTATCCGTTATAATCGCAGATAATATCCATAATCAATGGATACCCGTTATAACCGCGGGTAATACCCATAATCGTCCATTTAAATTTCAGCCATTTGGTTGTCTAAACGGTTATCCATATCCGTAACCGTGAATTTTAAATGAACGGATAACCGCGATTACCCAAATCTATGGGTATTTTGTCCATCCTTAATCAGGAGCCTAAAAACCATAGAATTTGAGCTCTTGATTTGTATGAAGTAAACCAATAGAGTAAGTTAACGTAGTCTGTCAATTTTATTTTGAATGATCCGAACTTGAGCCCTTTATTCGGGAGCCCAAAAAAAAATCTCTTCCTGTACAAATATAATATGAAAAATGCGGTAGCATTACTCTCCCGTTAATGGCTCTAATAGATATTTTTCTCATAATTTAAATCTTCGGGTCTCTTGGATAAAAACCAAGACAGATGGTAGAAGCTGATGCGGCCACATGTCGATTGGCCTAATTCCGTTCCCGCCAATTTCTCTTCCCGCCACTTTGCACCAATCCGCGAATGACATATATAACCGGCCCACCGCATTCACATGCAAGCCCCCTCTCTCTTCTCCTTTCCTTTCCTCTCTGAGACTTTCTCTCTGCTTCTAAGCATTCCCCTCTAATGGCGACTGAGAAACTCACAGAGTACGAGCGCAAGAGGCTCGAGAACATCCTACGGAACGGCGAAATGATGTCTTCCCTCAAGCTCCAATCCATCAAAGCCCATGTCTCTGCCTCCATCAAACGCCCAAGGTTCTTTCTATCTCTCTCTCTCTCTCTCTCTCTCTATATATATATATATATATATATGTGTGTGTGTGTACATCTATGGTAAAATCACGATTTTCTCGAAAACCCCGTTTCTAATATCTGGTTATAATTGTAGGGTCGAGACCAAATCGTACAAAGTTAGTCCGAAGAAACAACCCAAAACCCAGACCCCGATTGTCATGAGGCGGTCTTTACGCACGCGCGGGTTACCGCCCGATGCGAAGGGCCTAAGCGATGAGGCTCTGGAATCCATGGCCAAAACCCCGAAATCTTCGAGCCCATCGAAGGGGTTGCCTCGCTATTTGGGTCCTCTTAGCATGAAAGATGCTTACAGAGGAGTGTCAGATCGAGCTCTAATGGAAGCAATTCTGGATATTTCGAAGAAGCCCCAATTGGATGCTTCAGTGAAAGGTGAAATTAAAGGCGAAAATGGCGGATTTGAGGGTGGCAAAGGTGAGAGCTTTTCGATTAAGGAAGAAAATGAAGTTGAAATTGGTGAGAAGACAGAGCCTTTGAGTGAGGGAATTGGTGGGTTTACTTGTGGTTTGGTTAAGAAGGAAGAAAATGGGTTTACTTGTGGTTTGGTTAAGAAGGAAGAAAATGAAGTGTGGAGTAGTTTAAAGTTAGAGTCTTTGACTCTAAAACCGGAGAATGTAGCGAGAGTTGTGCCCGGCAGGATTATGAATGTGAAGTTTTTTCCTTGTACTAGTTCGAATATGATTGCGGTTGGAAATAAGTTTGGGAATGTTGGATTTTGGCATATTGATTCTAAGGAAGATGAAGAAAGCGGAATATATTTGTATCATCCACATAGTGGTCCTATTTCGGGGATTTTGATTCAGCAACATTGCACGTCAAAGGTATTTTCTATCCAAATGGTTCTTGTATGATAACAGTGTTGAGACTTGAGAGAGAGAGAGAGAGAGAGAGAGAGAGAGAGACGTTTATGTTTCCGACTCAAAAATGTAGGTTTAAGTTCTGTTAAATTCTGAGTTATGTTTCACACACTGTCACTAGTATACTCCTGTCCTGCTCAACTTCTGAGTAGTAACATAAGAAATTGAGTTCGGTAACAATAAGGCGGAAACTCATCTTCCCGAAAGTTGGCAATGTTTTGCCGCATGCTTTTATGTGAGCAATCACTGGAATGAGTTCGAGTAACTCTTGCGATATATGCTAACATATGATTGTTGAGTTAAATTGCAGATCTTTACCAGTTGTTATGATGGCTATATCCGGTTGATGGATGCCGAGAAAGAGGTGTTTGATCTAGTACATTCCAGTGGAGACCCTATATGCTCTATGTCCCAACAATCGAAGGGTCCGAACTGCTTATATTTTGCCGAGGGCAATGGAGGTTTAAGTGTCTGGGATCAGAGAACTGGAAGCTTCTCAAACCAGTGGTCTTTGCATGAATACCGAATTAATAGCATTGACTTTAGCTCAGCAAACCCTAACCTCATGGCCACTAGTTCCTCAGACGGAACTGCCTGCATTTGGGATTTGAGAAGTATTGATGCAGATAAAACTTTACGAACAGTTAGCCACAGTAGGGCTGTGCATTCTGCTTACTTCTCGCCTTCTGGAGGGTTTCTTGCAACGACAAGGTATCCAACTTGCGCTTTTTTTCTTACCGCTGCATTGTTGTTCCATAAGAGTAACGTTCTTAGGAGGTGATTAATGAATGAATTTGCATTGATCTTGCCTGCTGCGGCGTGACTAATTTCTCTCTGTGTTCATGTAGTATTGACGATACAGTTGGTATATCGAGTGGAGCTAATTTCGAGTACACGTCAATGATATACCATAACAATAATACCAGCAGATGGATTTCTAAGTTCAGGTATGATTTTTACCAGATTTTGAAATTTTGATATGTTTGTGACTTTCCTTTTGCTAGAACGGGATCGCTTTCGCTTTGCATCTGACTTTTGAAACTGGAAGCAGGGGAATATGGGGGTGGGACGACGCCTATGTCTTCATTGGCAATGTGAAAAGAGGAGTAGATGTGATATCCCCAGCTGCAAGAAGAACAGTGCTCACTTTAGAGAGCCCGCACATGACTGCGATTCCGTGTCGATTTGGTGCTCACCCTTACAACGTTGGGATGCTAGCAGGATCCACAGCCGGAGGCCAAGTTTATGTATGGACATTGGGCTAGGAAATTCAGCTTCTCTGCTTGCACGTAGCTAGTGAAAACATGACAAGTTTTGTACCTTGAACTTTAATCCAGTGACGTCGTGTGGTGCGAGCTATTTTGTATTTTGAACAAGTTACGTGGAGGCGGATTTGAACAACTCTGGTCAACTGGCCTAACCCATGTATATTGTGGCACAAGCATGTCCATGAACGCATCGAACAAGGCACCTCGGTTCAAAGAACTTGAAAAATGAACGAGAAATTATGCATTAATTATTGTTTTAATTTCTTCCAAGAGGTTAATTCATGCGGGATTAATTCTTCATTACATGAAAGCACAGCCTGCGCCATCAACTTCCCAAGCCAACCATGGTACAACAATCCCCTTGAGCCAAGCCCTCCAAATAACCAGTAGTTGGAGCTTTGGTTTTTGCCTACGATGTCATCGACACAGCCCAAAAGGGGGAGTGAGCCGTGAGGAGTGAGCGGCGGCATTGCCCTCAGGCCAGCCCTGGCTCCGGCAAACTTCCAATCCTTTAGGACAGGGTAAACGGCATGTGCCTTTGGCAGAAGCTCTTTAAGGGCTTCCCCAGCTTCTTCTGCGGAAACATCCGGTGATGAATTTCTTGATTTCCATTCCCATGTCGAGCCCATGTATAAACTCCGAGGGCCTTGGACAGCAAGCCAAGCATCTGACAATATCGAGGGGCCGAGGCTTGGATACTCCTCTCTTAAACACAGAAATTCATAAGATGAGTTTTGTTTCATACATACAGCACAAAAATTAGGGCCATTCAGATACCGATACAAGGCAGAGAAGAAAATTTACCCTATATCATCAGGAAGCTGAAGATGTGCAACAACACCTCTGCACGTCCTCAATGGAAGCCTCCTGCAGAGTTCAGGAAGCATGTCTGCTTTGGCACCAAGGCATACTATTACTGCCTGGTACTCCCCTAACATCAAATATAATCAGACACTAAATATGAAAAATGATAAGTGCAATGAAAAAATGTTGAACCTATCAGTTATAACCTTCTGAAATGAAGGAAGCTGCATGGAATGTTAAACATCCGATTTGAAACATCAAATCTATCAACAAAATCCAAACTTACACAGATGTTAACTGAATTTCACAGGTTACTTTGCAAGGCTAACGATAAGAAATACGGAGCACGAAACAGAATACATACAAACAACTTATTGGAGAGAGCCAAAGAAGTCCACGACATGAGCCTTAACAAAGCTTGAAACAATGGCGTTGGTCATTACCTTCTAGGTCTAAGAGTTTGTGGACAGAACTCTTGTGCAAATGCAATTCTTTGACTCCGGAGCCAGAAGCACAAAGTTCCTTCACCAAATTTTGACATGCTAAGAACAGTGCCTGGAAAAATAACCATGACAACAAGAAATCAACAAAAACAAAAGGAAAAATGTATCTACCAAAGAGATACGGAGGAAAGAGGGGTCAGCGGCTAAATTATCTGAACCTGTAAATAGCGTTGAGGATGAATATTAACAGCTTCAGGCATATAAAAGGAGGCATCAAGAGGTGGAGATATGCCGGGTACGAGATTTTGGGCAGCATCGTTGTCAAGGGTTTCTATTCGGCAACTAGCAAGGCAACTCTGGGCATTCTACTGACATAAATTGAGAAACACTAACATTACAATGAGGTTGAAAACTAAGTATCTGAAGCTGTTGTGATGGTAGAATGACGAGGGAGAATTACGTCTTTCAACAACACCAAGTTCTTCAAGCTCAGGGCTGGTCTCAAGATGCCCCTGAAGACAAGAAATTCAAAATCTCATGCCTATTAGCTAAGTTTTATACAAAAACACGAGCAAAATTGGAGATAAAAACTCTCAACTATCCGGTTGTTACTAGTCATTTACTAACCGATTATTAGAGCGAAATTTCTTGTTCCCGTTCTCTTGTTAGCAAGGTGTTTTTCTACAGTATTGAGCTTTAATTGTTTTCCTAGTGCGAAAATCCGAAAATCAAACACTTTTAAGATGTTACACACACTCAATTGAGCACAAAAAAAAGATTTCAACCTTAAAGATAAAGAGTAAAAGAAACATTTTCACAAAGCGGTATTCTAAACTACTATAATCTACTGTAAAGAATTCGCACACTAGTAGAGAACACCGTGACCAATTGACCTAATCCACGTCATCAAAACCCTTTCAAGATACACTAAAATGCGCACAAATGCTGCAATGCACGAATGATGTAGTAATCTAGAACACAAATATTTCAACTTTAATCGAATTGAAATTATAAAAAAAAAAAAAACAAAAAAAAAGCGAACCTTCTTCTAACAATTGGCGTTGGGCCGTCAGAATTTTGAGCAGCGGAAGCCACGGCGGCTTCAGCAGCGCTCAACAGGTTCAAGGACTCACTCCAGCAGTCGGCAGCACGCCATAGAAGCTTAGCTTTAGGGGAATAAGGGTGAAGAAGCCCACCCGAAACCCCGGACGCGCCGCCACCGATTCCAGCTTCATCGTATATGTCGACGCGGATGTTGGAGTCTTTCGGACTCTGCTTTAGCAAGTGCCACGCGACGGAGAGGCCGGCGAAGCCAGCCCCGAGCACTGCGTACCTCACACAACTCGGACTCAGACTCGGAGGAGGACCGTGGCGCTGAGTCAGAGAACTCGGTGACCCAACAGAACAAGAAGAAGAAGAAGACGCCATCCTCCCCCCGCCGCCACCTATCCCCTCTTCTCTTCTTTTGTTTCCCTTATTCAAAACAAGTCCATTTAAGTTTTCACAAAATTTCACTTTCGTCCTCTTGTTTGTAGGTTAGGACTTGCATATTATTCGAAGACTAGGATTCTCTTCCTTTCTTTGTAAGATGTTGACGTGATTTAACCACAACCGTTCAAATAGGAGCGGAGGAGAGGGAAGGAAAAAAAAAAAAAAAAAAAAGAGAATCCTACTCCATTATTCTGAGATGTCATAATAACATAATGAATAAAAAACAAAACGTCACGTGTTTTAAATTTCCACACATGTTCAAATTCAAACATCACCATCTTAGCATTTCCGTTTCATACAAATCTCTACAGTTTTGTAAGGAGTTCCTATCCAAAGACGTCCATCAATTTTCATTAATTTCTCGTACGAAATTGTCACGTGCAAGGCACATGGAAGGGTAAAGTTGGAGAAAACATGGTTTCACAATTTCATACACAAAGTGCTCATTCCATTTCACATGGAAAAAATTGGACGAAATACAATACTAAAACCTCAGTGAGTCATGTGGATACAAATTTTCTTACCCCTGTAGCTTTTGTAGTGCAGACTGTTTTGCCTATTGCCTAAGCTCCGCTTTTCGTTGTTTCGCTTTACTCTGTCAACATCCTCATCCGTGTGCCTTTTCGTTGGATTTTCTTCCTGCTATACACGTGTTGCTCATCCAAGAACGGAAGAAAGATGGAAAATCAGGGATCTTCCATTTGCTTCCACGGATTTCTCGATCTCTCTCGAGCTCAGGTTCGTCTCTCTCTGTCTCTCAATTTTTTTTTTTTTCAATTCGTGATCGAATTTTCTTTCCAAATAATGTTAGGTCCGTTGCCTTCGGGAAGAAAGTTTAAACCTAGAAAAGCATGGTTTTCAGGAAATCGTCAATCCTGCAGAAACCTTGGGTTTCCTGGTGAGTTCTCCAGCTTATTGTTTTTGAATTTTCTTTTATGTGTTCAAATTTTTGTGATTTTAAAACCTCTCGGTGGCTACAGATTTCATCAGCTATTTCATCAATTTTTCGATTCGATCAGGATCGGTTTTTTACCCACGAAATCTAGCATGTTCTGGTGAGTTTCGTGACTTCTCCGTGTGGCTGTTTCGAATTTTGTTTATGTGGTTTTCAATGTCCACATGGGTTTTTTGTTTGAATTTTGTATTTGTGATTTTGCATGTTGTTTTGAATTTACAGATGGCTTTTCTGTTTCAATTTTGATTCTGTGATTTTGAGAGTTTGTTTATATTGTCAGATCCAGCTTGGGTGTATGATCAGGAGACCTTGCTGTTTGTTTTTAGGCTTCGGTGTATAGACTTCGAAGCCCTTTGTGCACAAGGTAAATAATTTAGTATCTTCCTTTGAGGATTTTGTGTAACAAAATTTTTACTTTTTGTATATTGTGGAGGTTGAATTTTGTATATTGTGAACGTTGAATCTGTGCAAATCCATTTGTTCTTAATTTTTTTTTTTTGTGTATTTGGAGAATGTTGTTTCCTTTTTCTATGTGTTTTAGGTGGTGTTGCATAAGTTAGTCTCTTTTGTTCTAAGTTGTAAATGATTTTCATTCCATGTTATGTTGAGTTATGTTATTGCAGTATTGAAAAGAGATTGAGGGTTTTGGTTTAGTCTGACAGAGGGGGAGATAAAGAGAGAAGTGGATTATGTTCATGAATGGGGGATGTAGTTCATTGTTTCTAAGTATTTGAATTTCAGTTTTTATTTTTGTGGTTCACCTGTATTCATTTTGGAATTTTTTTTCTTTTTATTTTTTTTACGTATTGTTTTGGATAATGTGAATGGAGCTTTTAAAAGAAAAATATAGAGGTTTTTCTTTAGCTAGAGAGAGGACGTGAATTGTGTCAATCTTTGGCTATTCGTGTAGACCATTTTGATCATGGGTGTATTAATCTATGGAAGATTTAATGAAAAAGATGTAATGAAAACACCATGTTTACTCAAAAAGCATATTGATTCCGATTTCAATTTCTTACTGAAATGGGGATATAATGTAGGCATAATATACAATAAAGACTATAAACACGATAAAGAGGAAATCCTGATTAAGAGTGAGTTTTAAAACAAAAACAAAAGAAAAAATGAACACAATGCAATCTCCTTTAATTAGCTCTTAAACCCTAATTTATCTCTCTCCTCTCTCTCTCTCTCTCAAATCCATTTTTCATTTTCTGAAAAGGGTTCAAGAGATAATTGTCTCTTTGTGTAGGTGGTAATCGAAGAAGTTTGTCAAGGGCCAAGGAGGATTGGATTTCAGATTGGCAGAAATACAAGGCCTCCCTCTCTGTGCGTTTCCAATCTTTACCCTGCTCCTATATTTTCATCTAAATCACAATTTATACGATTATTTTACTGATTCTATTTTTTGGTATTTGAGTTTTTATCTCCTGATTATTTTTTCCAGAGGTTGTATTAATTTTCCTTTGACTGGAAATTTGGGGTTTCTTCAGATTCGCCTATTCCTATTGGTACATAATCATATGAGAAAATTAGGATTTGAACATATTAATTAGCTAGGAATTAGTTTACATTAGAGAATATATGTGATTTTGGATTCGTGTTGGTGTAGCTAGGGGCAATTATATATGTGAATAGATGTTGGGTTGGAAGGTCTACTCATAAAGAAGAACAAATCTAAGGGTAGAGTGAAACTGAAAAACAGCCAAACTCAAAATGTAATTTGCCAAAGAGCACGATTGGCCATTTGTTTTAAAATTTTCATACTTTACTTCTCATTCTTATGTACCCTTATGTATGGGTAACATGTATTCAACTTTAGAACTTTATCCGAAACCATTTGGTGGGTGTTTGGAATTTTGGAATTAGATTTTTCAATTTGTTTTTTGAATTCCTAACATTTAATCTCATTTGGGTCTAAGCCTTTAGCTATTTTTGTTATGAAATAGTTCATTGATTGCATATTGTTAACTTGATACATTCTGTTTGTGGTAGCTCCAATTTCTTGCTTTAAGAAAACCACTTGGTTGGTTTTAAGTTTTTCGTACTTTTCGTTGTCCTATTTGCAGAAAAACATGTTTTACAAGTTTGGGGACTGATCTGAAATCATTTGGTGGATGTTTTTAGTCCTAATTGGAGAAGACTCTTTTTGCTCTGAAGTTTGTTAGTTGACAGAGATTACAAGTATAACATGGTGTTGTGTTGGATTTTGGTTGGTTTAGGTTGCAGAAGATGGGGGCTTTGGATTTAAAGAAGGTGGTGACAGGCACCAGGGGTGGCTTCTCATCATTTGCAATTGGTTACATGGGGTGTTTTCTATTTATTGGCTAATATGTTGAGCCTTTTAGTCATCGGATACTGGTTGGAGAAAGAGTTCAACTTTGGTATGTATTTGAAAATCAGTTTTTTTTAGTCTAATTATGTGGTATATATCTTCTACAAATTCAGAGAACTTTGTGATTATAAGCATTTTCATCATTCAAGGGACTCAGAGACTTAAAATTCTTTGCACTACAACTTAGTCATGTTAGGCTTTTATTAGCATTGAGCGAAAACGATTTGGTGATGTAGGTTTTGCAACTTATCATGTCAGACTAATAATTTTTCCATTAATTTCTAATCTTTTTTTTTTTTTTTTTTTGGGGTTTACGAACTTTAATTGTTTGATCCATGTTATACTATATTGAATGATAACATGTTAACAGTAGTTTTAAACTAACATGATCTTGCCCCATTTCGAAAGCAAATTAAAGAAATAATGATGGACATGCATGTTAAAAATATTATGAATTTAAAGAGGTGAAACCCAACTCACAACTGCTACCTATTTAGTTGAACACAATTTTCCTCTGCTTGGTTGATGAGAAAATGTTGGGAAACAAAGGAGCACGATTTGAGTGCTATTGTTATGATGGATGCTTATTTTGACGACCTTATTAAGTCTTGGATAATTTATGAATTTAAGATCTTCAATTTTAGTATTTAAAGAGTAATATGGTTTTTTTTTTTTTGTTTTTTCTTTTTGGTGCAGCGGTTAAAGAGGGGTGCGAGGAAACTTTAGAAAATATTAAGGAAGGTGAATTGATCATGGTATTTAAATTTTAACAATTCAATTTCTTAAAATTGGGTAAATGCTGGCATTTAATAGTACTTTGAAGATGGATTTTTGACTGAGTTTTGACTCTTTGTTGTGCTTTTTATTTTTATTTTTACTTTATTTTTCAGTCTTTGGCAAGCCATAATACATCATAAACAAAATAATTGGGTTTTAGTAAATATTGATTTTGTAAAATTCTTTATTTAAATTTCTAGGTTCTGATGAATTCTCATTTAGAGTTGGTGACAACCAATCGACTCATCACCAACTTCAGATCAAGATTCAAGCATGCCTTAAATGTGTAAGTCATGTTTTCATTCTATTTTGTTGATTTGGTCATCACAATTTATTACAAAGTTGGGATATCAGTTAATTTTTAGACTTGGATTTTAACTTTTTATTTGTATTTCTGGAAAATTGCAGAAAGCTTGCATTAAGATTCAGCTCTCCGATCCGAAAGACCTTAAGATTGATGGCTGAATTATTGTAAGTATGTCTTTTGTCACAGGTTTACCCATGTTCTTCTGTCCAATCATTTCTTGACACTATATTAGTAACCCCAATTATTATAAGGATTAACAGATTAAGATCCATTTAGATTCGATATACACATTTTATATCTGGAACTTAGGTTAGGTATTGTCTATATATCAAACATAATGCATGAAATATATTAAAAAAATCTACGATTTGTTGTATGTGGATTGTATTTGTTAAATATTTTGTATATAAATTTTTTCTAACAATTTGAATGTAAATAGTATTAATCTTCTATCTAACAATCTTTCATATGTTTGGAATACAATCTTACATATAATTTTTAATCCCGCAGCAACGCGCGGGCATTGATTTCTAGTACAAACTAATGCACAGCTTAGGCTAATTTGTCACTAAGGTAAGATTACAGAAACAATAGATAACTGCCCTGTAAATGTGTAGGTAACAAGTGTTTATGCTTTGCGCAAAATTACGCGCCTTTCTCGCTTGTATTCGACTTCATCCCTCTGGTGCATAATTATCAGAGCTCTTTATGCTTTGCGCAAAATTACGCGCCTTTCTCGCTTGTATTCAACTTCATCCCTCTGGTGCATAATTATCAGAGCTCTTCTTACCTGCAAATTAGTAGTAGTGATATCAATCAAATCACCAACAGACCGAAAAGATGTTGGCGGAAGCAATCGCCAGCTAGTTTCTAATGGTCCGCTAAGTTGAAATAGTCCTTTTTCAGATGTTCATTTGTCCCAAAATCACACTATTGTATGTGATATTATCAATATTTGGAAGACAGTTCAACCCGAGAGGCATCAAATCCAAATAATCGTACTTTTCCAGATTAGTTGCTTATGTGAGGAGGCAACTATGAATGATATTTAATCAAATTCGTACTTACAGTAGATTCATTCATTCCCATTCTTGTGAGCTCATCGATCAGCTTTCTCTCTGATATGTGGTTCCCAATGCCTACTCTTCTCCTTATCTGAGTTTCAGCTTGCTGTTTAAGGGAGAAAAATTAAGAGCGCGTTGGAAAAGATAAGAGTATGAGAAAGATAAAGAGAGAATGAAAATGATGTTTTATCTCTGATCTAGTCGTTTCTTTTGTTTTCTTGTAGGAAAAGATGACAATAACATAGTTTCTACTAACCTTAACTTCATTAGCCATCTCACCGGTAAGATTGACCTGCTGTTGTATTCCAGACTTTGCCGCGTCCATTGTGGCCGCATTGAATAGTCTTATTGCTTCACGAACATGCTCCTCAGTAGCTTCGTGGCGCCTGAATTTGACATTGTGGTTTTCAATAGTGATGTTCTAGTTCACGTTCATGTTAATAAACATTACAACTGGAAGTCCTAACTCCTAAGCATCAATCAATATCACTAATACTTACAGTTGCATTTTTGCAAGGGCCTCACTCAACCTCACTATAGCTTCAAGCTGCCTTACGGTGATTGGCACTGCTGCGGCCTCCCCTGTTTCATTCGCTAGCTGTCTCATGTCCTATAACAAAATTCATGAAGATGATGTCAATCGGATCCTTGAGAACCATATACCAATATGTGGATCCAGTTAACAGAGAAACCAAATGGGACTTCCATAGAACTTGTAGCATGATCAACTTCTTTGAGGACCATATGAGAATTTTTGGGTAGGCATCTGCTCAATCCTTACTATAATAAGTTAACAGCAAGAATACCTGTCTGATTTTCACGTAATTACTCTGCAGCTCTCTCGATGCAGTTTCTGATAAGCAGGGGTGACATTCAGTTCGACAATATTGTATGTACCTACAATGTCGCAAAGAAAAAGAATTCAACATCTCATTGATATTGCAATGGCACCATTTTATAACGAATGTATGAACTTGTGTTTCAAAGTGGTATACCTCTTCAGCCAATTCTCTTCTTTAGAAACTACTCTACCATCACCCAGTGCTGCACCAGCAGATGCATGAACCTTTATGATATGACTCGCTATAGTCTGTCATTGAAAAGCCGAGTCAAGCTACCGATGAAAAAGGAAGTACGATCAAAGTGGACCAGCAGTGACACTCAAAGATATAGTACATGTTAGGTGTTGAAATGCCACCTAAAAGAAAACAAGAAGAATTGTACTCCCAAAGTAATTGAGCAAAACACTTCGAATTAGCAATATTAAAAATACCTTATCCTGACTGTACATTCTGATATCTTTAACAATGAAGATCAAGTCAAATCTCGACAGAATTGTCGTCTGCAGATCGATGTTATCCTGAGCAGTCTGAAAGAAAGCAATTGTGTCAGTTAATATTCAAAGAAGTCACAAGTTGCATCTAAGACTCTTAAATTAGATCAACTAGAATGGCAGTGTACCTTCAGATCATCATAACGTCCAGATGGAGGGTTAGCAGCTGCAAGCACAGAGGTTCTAGAATTAAGAACAGTTGTTATTCCCGCTTTGGCAATGGATATGGTTTGCTGCTCCATGGCTTCATGAATAGCAACCCTAAGCCACAACAATGTAATCTATTAGAACTCTATGAAAAACTAAAGTTAAGCACATCAAGATCTATCCAGCTTGCATTACCTATCCTCTGATCTCATTTTGTCAAACTCGTCAATACAGACAACACCTCCATCCGCCAAAACCATGGCTCCTCCTTCAAGATAAAACTCACGCTGGGTTGCACCAAGAAATTGAAATTAGAGACATTTTCCGAAGGAAAGGGACAACTACCTCGCTAATATTTTGTGAAAGGCATTACAAAACTAGAGACAACAAGTATCGTTAAATTAAAATCAAAAGAAGATCAGGAACTTACAGAACTGCTATCCCTGATCACAGAAGCTGTAAGACCAGCAGCTGATGACCCTTTTCCTGAAGTATACACAGCCACGGGAGCTGTCTTCTCGACAAACTTGAGAAACTTTACAGATAAGTTGAAATCAAATCAGCATGTGCCATGTGTAGCAATGGAAGAAGAGCATAAACTGTCTTATTCTCACATGGCTAGGAAAATAGGTCTTAAACTGAGCAGAGATATTTTTCTGCTAAAAATTGTATACTGCCACTTAGACTGTGAGCCCATAAAACAAATATACGAGAACAAACCTGTGATTTAGCAGTAGATGGATCCCCCAAAAGTAAGACATTAATATCACCTCTTAGCTTCACACCATCAGGCAAATGCTGCTTGCAGGAGAATGGGTTGTTACAATCAATAACCACACAAGTACTACAGACAAAAATTCAGGATATACCTTTCTAGATCCCCCGAACAGAAGACAGGCCACAGCCTTCTTTACATCTGCATGACCAAATATAGAGGGAGCAATTTTCAAGCATATATTTTTATATGCATCTTCCGAAGCAAACTTCTTGAACTCTTCTATCTGCAAACATACAAAAAATGGTTGAAAAGTCATATTACTAGTTCTATAACAAAGCTTACTTCGATTAAAATATGACCAAAAAATAAAATAAAAAAGATGAATTTATGATCATATACAGCTAAGGCTTGTATTAGAGTAAACAATTCTCCACCACACCAAAATTTACCAATTGTCTAGTGCTTAAATACTCCATGAGACCTATACTTACTAACAAGAACTGCACATGTTGAACACACTAGCAATGTAGAAAAGATGTTAAAGATACTCCCAAATATTGAGTTCAACCAATACCTCATCTTGTGTAAAAGCAGCAGGACCCCGAGAGTTGGCATCAGTTGCTTCTTCTATTCCTACCACTCTGATGTAAGGCTGCCTAACAGCAACTGCTCCTTTATGGCTACATAGAACGGAATAGAGTAAACATCAAAGTTCAGCAGTGAAGAGCAGTATACAAAGACATTAAAACATTCATCTAAAGTTATAACAATCCTCACGATGTGGCAGAATTGGAAGCTTGATAGATGCTATAAATGCCCATGATGGTTAATCTTGTGCCAGGCACAATTGTCTGAACGAGATGACGATCCACGGATAGAAGCATATTTCTTGGAAGCTCTCCGGTAGGTACATCCTTCATAAACCAAGGGAAAAACAACTAATTATATCCAGATTCCATAATTCAACTTAAAATTCTTTTCGTTATAAATTAAGATCATCACCTCTGGATTCTCTTGCAATTTCAAGGTTTGCTGATCAACATATTTGCTCTTATCAGGAACCACAACCCACGGATCAAGCGGACAAGGTTCTTCTCCAGGCTAAACATTTGCAATCCCTTGTATAAGATACCAAACTAGAAAAGAAAGACAATGCAAGAAAACACCGAAAGAAAGGAACATAAGAACAAGGAATATAACAAACCTGAGGAATATGGTTGCAAGAGCGAGGGACAATTGCGCCACCAAGGCCTGGCCGGCAAGGTACCCTTTGCACATTTTTACAGTTCTTACACATGACAATCACATAAGTTGCCTTCGCCTTGACCCTCGAAGCAGCTATAGTGATCCCAGAAACCTTGATGAGTTTCGATATACATTGTGCCTACAATAATTTAAAAACTAAATTATGTAGCATAACCTAACCATAAAATCCTAATACACCATTCCCCAAATTCTCATTGCTCAAATAATTAACTTTTTATGTTCAGCTGAAATAAAGGTTTTATCATTCTCCCAAACTTTCTCATCAACCAAACAGGAAATACAAACACCAAGAAAAAAAAAATCAAAGAAAAAACCAACCCCAAGCTGGCGCATAGACGCCGGGTCTTCTTTGGACGTCAGCAAGATCTGAACATCCTCCGGCACTCGCTCCTCCAATTTCCCTTCATTTCCGGGCACTTTCGTCTTTAAATTCGCCAAAACCTGACCGGCGGCGTTTTCAAACTACAAAACCCTCACAATTAAAACAATCAAAATTAATTAACAACTTAAAACAAGGATTAATTGAAAACTAAAGGAGATAATTAGCAGATAGGTCAAGTGGTAACCAGAGGCAAGTAATCGGATGGGGCAGAGCGGAGCTTTGCGACGAGGTCAGCGTCGAAGGAGTCGAGGTCTTCGATGTCGACGAGAAGGTACTTAGCGTTGTGGAGGAGGCTCTCCCTGTACGAGAACACATTTTTCTGTGTCTCGAAGCTACGGATGAATTCCTTGAATTTCTGAAGAACCGAGTGGCGGGTGGCGGCTGCGGCGTTGCTTCCGCCGTCTCCGCCGTCGCCGCCAAGCGACTGCGCTTGGTCGCTGTAGTAGATCGCTCCTTCGTCCCACCCTGACATGTCTCTGCTCTCTCTCTCTCTCTCTCTATCTACAATTACAGTGTTAACTCCCACTTTCTCTTTCTAAAATGCTCCCTCGCTGTAGGTCAAATGGTAGGGCACCGCGCGGAAGAGGAGCGCGCCGTTTTGGCGGGAATGATTTGGCGGGAAAGAGGAAGAGGTTGATAACATCTGGCAGTAGCACGTGACTCCATGGTTAATAATGGACTTGTGAATTGGGCCGGGACAGACAAGCCGGCCCATTTCTGAGGTGTAAAGGCCCAATGCTTACCGGGGCCGTTGAATGTGAATAGACCCTCTTTTTCCTCTTTCTTCTTTTATTGTTTTTTTTATTATTTATTGTTATTAAAGAAAGGGGAGGATCAAACCTCTTACAATAATTAAGGAAGAATTTTATACCCATAATGCATGAGTAGAAATCCAATAATTTGTTTTTTTTTAATCATTGTATTGTACTTTCATTAAGAAATTTCATAAAATACACGTATTTTAGTCGTACAGTGGTATATCACTCACACGTACACATGTAGTGTATCCATTATGTTCACATTCAAGAGGAGTAAAATTACCAAAGGTCACCATGACGGCTATCTCAAGCCAATAACGTTAAAACGCATAGTAGTAAGTACATGATTAACCTAGACAACCGACGCAATGGTACACAAACTTACATTACATGGCACTCTTATACAGCACAACATTTATTATGCTTACAATACAAACTATAAAACAAATTAACTGGCTACAAACAGCTCACTCACTTCATCTTGTGTATATATCTTCGGTTTCTGCATCTAAATTCATCACCCTGCAGTATCAAAAGTTGGGTTATTTTTCATCTGGAGTTTCGACTCGGATAAAAGCTTCAATGCATTTTCCATGGATGGTCGATCGGATGGCCTACTCCTGGTGCAAAGCATAGCAACCTCAATTGCCAGTTTTATCTCCTCTTGCATTGAAATGTCGGAACCAGCTTCGTTCTCGTTGTAAATTTCCCGCAGAACAACTTCCCTCGACTTGCTCTGTATGCTTGCGCCAGAATTTGTCAACCTGCCGTTGCTTAGAATCTCCAGCATGATCTCCCCAAAGCTGTATACATCCCTGCATAGCTCCTCTTTTGTGCCACTGATGTTATCAACTGTCCAACAAAAGAAGAGCACTCAGGGAAATGGTCAATGCTAATACACGAACGATATCAAATTGTTTATAATTCTGTTTCTAATCATATCGTTGAGTTTTACTGGAATTCCGTAATTTTCCCAAGATTTCAGAAGTGGTAGGTGTAAGGGCTTAAATTATATGTTTGGCGTGGCGGATTATAACTTTTCAAAACAACCACCACATAATCATCTCTACTACATGAAAGAACATATCTTATTATGCATACCTGCATCCCAGGTGGAAGTTGCTGCTGTAAACGAACCTTTGTTCAGCTCGAGCAGATGCTTGAACCCGAATTCTGTCAAATGAGGTTCCATATTTTCGTCAAACACTATATTACTTGATCTCAGATCTCCATGTGCTATTGCAGGATAACATTCATGGTGAAGGAAGCATAATCCCTTTGCAATGTCGATGATAATTTTGTACTTGGCTGCCCATTCACCTTTCACACTTATCATTTCAGCCAAGTTTCCGTTGGGCAAGTAATCGTATAAGAGATAAGCCAGATGGTTGTTGTAGCAAACTCCAAGCAATCGAATTAAATTCTTATGCCTTGCATTTCCTATTTGTGTTACAAATTCCAGCATAACTCTCATTCTCTTTGCTCCCCATTCAATCTTCTTTACCGAAACTGCAATTCCCATTGGCAGAACTGCTTTCCGCACTGAAGCTGACAAAGGTGGCAATGCATCCATGGATTCTGTCGAACTGAAGCTCTTCAATAAATCATTTTTTGTGAATTGAGGAAGTCCAGCAAATGAGATCATCTTCCACTGGCCTTTGCTGCCTTTATGGTAGTAAAATAT